TCGAACTCTTGACCTCAAGTGATCCACCAGCCTCAGCCTCCCAACTGTATTTCTTTTTCAAGATTGTTTTGGCTATTCTGGGTCTCTTGAATTCCACATGAATTTAAGATCAGTTGGCTAATTCGTAACATAGAAACTACCTTGGATTTTGATGGGCATTGCATTTATCACTTTGCTTCATGATGACACTTAAAAATGAATATGCAAGTTCATATTTATGTCATAAAATTTCACTTGAATAGCAATGTAGTCCTAAGTTTTCCTATGAAACAATTAGAAAACTTAAAAGAACATATTCATTTTGGACATCACATATGAACACAGGGTTTCAGTGTGTTTAAAGACTTTATTTACAACAGATGTCACAGCATGTTAGTCATAAAAATCATCAGAATCATCGGTGTTATGGTTTCTAGGGCGTAAAGCAGCCTCAATTTCTGAGTTACTGTCGTCAGACTCATCCCAGAGGGCTGGAAAATAAAACCAGACAGTCATTTAACATTTCTGCACTCTGGTTAAGAGCTTACAAAACAGCAGAGCATGGAAGGACTGGTTAAGCGGAGTGTCGGTCTGCAAAATGCCTAACAGGGACACCACGTGATGTACCTGACCAGACACACCCAAATGCATGTCACACTGCACAAATTACACAAAGTGTGTCCTATGCACTGTTATGGAAAACAATTTGCAGAATACTTCCTTTTCCCTTCTGTTGTGCCCAACTCTTTATTACAGGATAGGGATTTAAAGTCAGGGTTACATGGAAGCAGGGTTCCCTGGTGTGCTGTATCAGCCTGATGCCGCCCCACCTCAGCTGTCCCTCCACTTTTATCTCCCATTCTTCTTTATGAGAGCAGAGAGGAGAAGGGAAAGACGTGACAGAGGAATAAGCAGAGATGGTTAGCCTGAGACAGGGCTTTGGTTCACATCGTTTACTTGAGAGGTGAACCCAGGAACCATGGAGACAGTGTAACAAGGAAGACAGGAAGCCAATGAAGGGTATGATGATGAGTGGGTGCCTGGCAGTGAGTGGACAGGCAGGGCTCAGCCTGCTGGGGCCCCCTGAGAGACTGCAGAACCCTCCCCAAGGTTGTCCCAGTGAAGAGCAAGGGAGCGGGGTTACTGATCCACCAACTTGCCTCTGTTGGTTGAGGGTTGCTCTCAACCCAGGGCATCAACTCCGTGGTACTCTGGGCTGCCTTGTGAGGGCTGAGCATGCTCCTGCAGCCAGAGAAAGCCCTCAGGCAGAGAGACACAGCTGCTTGGTGCAGGAAGCTGTGGGCGTTGTGAATTGGAGCTGAGGTGCCCTGTGGGTGGTCTGGCAGGATGTGGTGGTGGAGTGCACTGCGTCTACCGCATCAACAATCCCCTAACTCTGCGGACACCCGCATGGCAACACCTGCCAGCTCTGTGCTGACTTCTCATATGCGACCCGATCTCATCCTCACACTAGTCTGGCAAGGTAAGTATTAATGTTTCCATTTCACTGAGCAAACAAATGGGCGCTGAGGGGGTTAAGAAATTGGCCACAATCACTGCCTGTGAGTAGCCAAGCTGGGAGTCCTACCCAAGTCATCTGACTCAAGCCTGTACTCTCCATCACAACCCCCTGGGTACTTGTCTCCCCCACAGTAGGTAGCTGTCCTTCTAGAAGAGTGATTCACACTGGGGTGCTTGCTAAAAATGCAGATTCCTAGGCCTAGGTTCTACAGCCGCTCTGAATTAGTTTCCACGCTGCGTTAGCAAAGTGGGTGCTAAATAAATAGTAGGTATTTTTGTTATTGGCAGTAAAACTATTAATCGAATTATACCTTTAATTTAAGGTATAAGCAGTTTAAGAAGACAGGAGCTGAGAGAGCCCAAGCTGGGCAGGGGATATGCCACAGTGTTAGGGTAGAAGGCAGGCTAGATTTTTCCTGTGAGCTGGGGGTTGAAGGATGAATAGGAGCTCACTGGGCTGAGGACAAGGAAAAGGAACTCCCTAGAGAAGGAACAACACGGGCAAAGGTACAGAGGCATAGGTGTGGTACAGCTGAAAAAAGCTGACTGTGGCTTGACCCAAACAGGGGACCTTGGGAGGAATAAGCTGGAGAGCAGAGCTGAGGCCTCCCAGGAATGGAGAAAGCTCAGACTACACTGCAGGCAGGGGGAGGCATCGGCAGTCCTTACACAGGAAGGTCGGGGGAAGCCAGGGTCTAGAGGCTGGTGGCCAGGTGAAGGACAGTCAAGAGCTGGGAGGAACTCGGTATGAGGAAACCAGTTAGAGTTACTCCAAGAGCCTGTCCACTCATGAGCAATGGGTGCTTCCGAGGATGGGGAGAGTCAAGAAACATTTTATTGGTAAAATACATGGTGCCGATAATTAATTAGACATGGAGGCCAGGATGCCCTGCAAATTCATACTTGCAAATTACAATGCTCTGCCCCTGAGGTCCATGGCACCTGTGTGGTCCTGTCTGTGAAGAACGGAGCCTCCAGAAGCCCTCAGGCTCCACCCCAGGGAGAACTGCAATGGCAGTCCCTGTGAGCATGCCCGCTTCAGGACTCACATGAGGGTGTAAACAACAAATGCATGTCACAGAGTTTTTTGGTTAAAACACAAAAAGAAAATCTGTTGTCCGATTATCTCTCTTACCATTAGATTTTAACTTGATCATGGGTTTCTTTTTGTTTTCATGCCTGCAAAATAAAGAAACAGTCTAAGTTCTGGAAAAAAAAAAAAAAAAAAAGACAATGAAACTAGTATTTTCATAATGAATGCATTAGAGAAGGAGCACTTTGATTCACTGGAGGCCAGAACTTTACACTTACTTCCCAGAGTTTAAAAGTAAAGGGAAAATATCGGGATGCAGCGTGGCCTTGCTGGGAGGGTCGCTACTCAACAGCATTGCTCCCGTCCTGGGTGTGTCCCCTCAGCAGGTCTGCATGGCCCACCCCGCGCTGCTGAGCTGTGCCTGTGTAGGGCCCTGTGTTCTTGGGGGAGGATGATCGCATGGGCCCCTGAGGCAGGGGACCGGTTTCCCTCAACAGTCTTCTGGAAGACACTGATGCGTGAAGCTTTAGTGCTTTCAGGCAAGCTAAAAATGAAACACTGAGAGTAGGGAATTCAGGATGTTGGTAAGGAAGTTAAAATACTGAGTCAAACCAGTGGCAGCAATACTAACAGCCTAAGGAAGGAGTTCAACACAAACACCTGGTAGAGGGCACTGCAAGTGTCATACAAATGCTAGTGTTCATGGCATCCAGGACCGAGTGACTTCTCGACTGAGGCCAATATGGCAAGAAAACTGGCTCCACAGGATATGATTTCTCTGTGTGCCTTTTCAGGAGTTTTTGCAATTTTAATGAATTTAAAAGTCTCCCCAGGGAGCAGCACTCGAATGTTTTATGATGCTGAGATTTTTAAAGAATTGCCTGAATGGTCACAGGAGATGTTGGAAGAGAAACCATTCTTGGTGCATAGTTTGACGCTTTGCCCTACCCCACGTACCACCACTGCCCTTCTCAAGGCCAGGGCCTTGCTCTTCTGACAAAGGAAACCCTGCAAATATCTTTTCCTTCCCTTTGGGCCAAGTCTGGTTGACTTTTGGCTTAAAAATCTACCTTTTGCTATAATTTACTGTTTTTTCAGAACAACATGCTTCGCTAATGTATTGTTTTCTAGGCTATCTTTCAGTGTTCCCTTTAAATTTAGTGCCTGTTTCTTTAATTGCCATGACTGAGTAGCACTCACAGCCATTTCTCCATGAAGCATGGAAGACCCCTACGAGCATCTGGAAAGGCCAGCAGCTGACTGACAGTCCTGGAGCTGCCAGGATTGTGGGGACCTGCCAGTGAGGTGAGCCTCAAAGAACCCGTTTTACAGAAAGTGACACACACATCACACACACACTAAATGCAACCGCAGGGATGTCTATTATTTCCCCACCTCCCGCTATCTGAGGACACTGGGCTAGGTGCTGCAGGAGAGGGTGGATTATAAAAATGCTAGGAGGGGTGGAAAGAGGCTAATTTGCCAGCCACGGTCCATATAAGAAGAGCCACAGGGGGAACAGGAGAAATCTTTGCCAGCTGGGAGGACGAGGGCACTGTGGCAGGCAATCGGGGGAGCTGCAGGACCACAGAGAGAGCCAGGCACCTCCAAAGGCAGAGGCCTTCACAGGCCAGGACTGAGGAACAAGGTGTGGCAGCAGGGAGCCCCTGACACAGAGCTGAGGCCTGTGTCCACTGAGGACACAGTGGCAGGTGAGCTCAGCTCCATCTCAGCAAATGGTACCCCCGACCCACTAGTCCCCCCAAGCCTCTCTCCAGTCTCCACTCCTCCTTCCTCCACACCCAGTCTGGCCCTCGGTCCTGCCAATTCCCCCACCTCCCCACAATACTTCCAGCAGTCCTCGCCAGTTCCCTGGGCACTGCCAGCACACTGGGCAACAAAACTATCAGCTCTTGCTTCTTTCTCTGCAACAACTTCCCAACTAGTGACACACACTCATCTTGTCCCCTACAATCCATTTCCCACTAGGCAATGAGAGTGAGCTTTCTGAAATGCAAATCTGGTCACTCCACTTCCTTGCTTAAAATTCTTCAATGCCTTTCCACTGATTTCTGCACAAAGACCTAAATCTCAAGCAGTGCCTCCAAGGTGGATCCCCCAGGAGTGTCGTGCTGTCCTCCTGGAGTCTTCCCACTTCTGACTCCCTATCTTCACCACTGAGTCCTCGTCAAGTTGCTGTCTCACATCCACTTGTGCAGCGAAGAGATGTGCCACTCCTCCCCCTCTGAACTGCAAGCTCCATGCGGGCAGTGACCACAGCTGTTTCAGCTCACCTGGGTAACGCGGTGCACAGCACTTAACAGGTGTTTAGTATGTTCACTTGGAATGAACAAGTGAACCTCACTAAGCATAGGGCCCTGCTTAAAGGCATTTGATCAATATTCAATTATATAATACTTGATTTACATATTTCTATTTAATATTGCACTTCAGAATCAAGTTTAAGTTTCTTTGGCTTCCCTGGTGGCAAAGAAAAAACAAAAATAAAAACCCAGAAAAGCTAAAGGGGGAAAAAAAAAAAAGGAAAAAGTCATGCACAAGGCTGTAAACACAAACAACATGAGAACCATCTATGCGTGTGTGTGTTAGTTGTCACTTAACTCATCAAAAGCAATCAGCCAGCAACGCTCAGTCCCACCACGGAGGTGACCCACTGAGCATTTCAGGGACCTCGCTTCTGCATGTGGCACTCTAGGAAAAAATGATTTCCTGAAGCCATGTCTCTATGAGGCCACTTGAACTTGCTTTTTCTGTTTGTCCTGTGGTTACACAGTGTGGCTTTGAGAACATTTAAGCCACAGGGAGCCAGTAAACATCCCAGTGAAATGTGAATTAATTGTGTAATGGTTCTTAATTGTCTGTGTTACTGGTTTTCTCACAGGAAACATGTTTCAGAGCTAAATGTGCGTGGTGCATGGTCTACCCACGGAGACGGGCAGAGCGTGCTTTTCAGTGTTTTGTTCTCCACTCTCATATCTAAGGGGCAATTATTTTTCCTTTTGGGAAAATCTCTGAAAGTCAATGTGACCCTGCAATTCATAGTTGATGTTTTATTATACAGAATTCTTAGGGTCAACATTTTTTTTCTCTAGGTCATGCCTAATATGTAAAGCTAAGGCAAGGCTGATGGAGAAGCCTGAGAACTTTCTATGGTGTGCTGGACAGAGCCAACTACTTTGGCTACTAGAGTAGATGAAAGAAAAACAGAACTGCAAAACTGCATTTCAGAAAGTAAAAGAAATCAAAGAGTCATGTTTGTAGGCCATGGGATACGGTCACCATGTGGTCTTATGTGCTCGGAATCTAACTGCTGAATCTTTGCTGAGAGTGTAGAAGTAAAGTTTTCGTCTTGTAAGGCAGAGGTTTTCTGTAAAGAACCAGAGAGTAAATAGTTCAGGCTCTGTGGGCCATACGGTCTGCCACAACTACTCAATTGTGTTTGTAGCATGAAAACAGCCATGGACAATTTGTAAACTAAAAGATGTGGCTGTATTCCAACTAAACTTCATGTATAGACACTGAGATTTGAATTTCATATAACTTTCACATGTCATGAAACATTATTCTTTTAATTTTCATCCAACCATTTAAAATGTGAAAACCACTCTTAGCTTGCGGACTGTATGGACCCAGGCAGGGGCCTGGGCATGGCCCAAGGGCCATTACTGCTGTAAAGAATTGCCTCACATGAGGCCCATGCTGCAGGTCAGAGAGCCTGCCTTTCCCCGCACCGCGGCTCAGGGCGACTCTTGGAACCGCGGAGGGTAGACTTGGTATTTTTTCCCTAGAAGTTTACAACTGGACTGGAGGTCCTACTTCAAAATAAACCATTTTCAGCAAGACACTGCAGATGATTAACTGAGTAAACTAAAATATAACCATGTTCCACTCTTCTCATTTGAATGGGACAATTGGCTGGGTGTGGTGGCTCACGCCTGTAAGCCCAGCACTTTGGGAGGCTGAGGCGGGTGATCGTCTGAGGTCAGGAGATCGAGACCATCCTGGCTAACACGGTGAAACCCCGTCTCTACTAAAAAAATACAAAAAAACTAGCCGGGCGCGGTGGCGGGCGCCTGTAGTCCCAGCTACTCGGGAGGCTGAGGCAGGAGAATGGCGTGAACCCGGGAGGCGGAGCTTGCAGTGAGCTGAGATCCGGCCACTGCACTCCAGCCTGGGCGGCAGAGCGAGACTCTGTCTCAAAAAAAAAAAAAAAAAAAAAAAAAAAAATTATAATAATAATAATGGGACAATTATCTCTGCAGAATTTCCCAGTAGCTTTGGTCATTTTTTCTCCCAGCTGTGCCAGGAATGCCCCATTCCCATTAGGGAGGTGCTCACTTGTTGCCGTTCTGCTGTGCTGACTTCACCACATCTCCCCCTCTACCTAGCCCTTAAGCCATCTCATTTTGGATGCATTTTGGTAACTGCTTATAAATTCCCCTGCTATTGATAAACCAGATTAGGCCAATGCTAATCAACGTCACTTTTGTTCTCAACTTTGTTAAACTTAAGAAGTTAGGGCCAGCCAGGACTTCAACAGAACAGGTTTTGTCTGAGAGCAGCCCTGGTACACAGTGAACACTCTACACATGGAGTCAGGATGACACAGTGTGCTATGGAAAACAGTAACAATTACGTGTCAGTGGTTCATTTTATATGAACAAAAGGCTAATGTAGCTAGAATTGGTCTACACAGTCAACATCAATATAAAGTTAGATAGTAAGGATGACTGACAATAGTAGGTTTTGCTTTGTGGAGCCAACAAGTAAAGACAAAAATGAGACACGGAATACCCAAGGCCAAGAAACCCACTATTCAATTAGAACACGGCATTCACAGATTATCAATCCAGAGCCTTCACTGTACAGTGGTGGAGCCCAGAGAGGTTGAGAGATGTGTCCTAAGACACACAGAGTGAGCCAGCAGCAGAGCAGAAGTGGAACAAAATGCTCTTCCCAGGACACTCCTACAAATGCACACGTTGTAGACACCCGCCCCACAGGGCCTCCTGAGCAGCAGTAAAACAGTAGGGCAGGGAGAACCCTGCCGCAGCATGCGCCTGGCTATGTGATCTGCTTTCAGAAGCTGAGACAGAATCAGCTCTGGGGCCAGACAGACTCTGCTCACTCGTGATCCTGGGCAAGTTCTCTACCTCTTCAAGCACCAGTTTTCTTGTCTGTGGAATGGGGACAGCAATGCCTTCCTGGAAGTGTTCTGAGAAGTTTGCAGACAATCCTGTGAGAGCCTGCAGAAAGCAGACTTCAGTAAGCAGTGCCACTGCACTGTCAGCACATGTGGATCAACAAAAGCATGTGCTCAGTTTGGTGATGTGCAGCCGTGGGTTCTAAGTGGAGGTGATGAGTACTCAGGCACAGGGGCCGAGGAATGGGAGGTTTGGGGACAGACGGAGAGAAGACAGGCCTGAGATGCATGAAGTTTCTTCCTCGAGGAACCTGACAAGTGGGTGCCCTTGAAATGGGAAGAGACAGGGCAACTGCCTCAGCCAGGCCTTCCAAGAGCAGGGGCAGAGCAAGGCATCGGACTCTGTGCTGGGGCTGCAGCAGCAAACAAGACAGACTCGCTCGATGCCCTTGAGGTGCTCATGCTCCAGTGAGGAGACTGACACCAGAATAAATACCATGAAATGGGCTGAAAAGGCAACTGTGGGGTTGGCTGAGAACTGATGACAGTGGAATTGGGGGATGATGTTCCAGGCCTCCAGCATGTGCCAAGAGCTCTCATCAAGGTCAGGGCCCGAAGCCAGACACCTTTCCATCAGCAGACAAGACAACAGCCAGGGAAGAACCCCAGTGAGACTCTGCAAGTGTGTTCACACAGGTCCTGCTTCCTGAAACTGGAGATGCATGAGCAGACGGCATATTCACAGTCATCACCAGTCTCCCTTTGAAAATGTATGTGTCCACACACACACACATTCACACACACTCTCACACACTCTCTCTCACACACACACTCTCTCTCTCTCTCTCACACACACACACACACTTATGCAGATAACTGTATGAAATGCATGATTCCCTGCAGCTCAAGTACATGATGCCATACAGAAGTAAGGGAACTTGTACAAACTGACTTTTATTTTAAAAAAACAAAACTAGAGTGAATGGTGCAGCTATACATCCATGCTTACTCACTCAGGAAGTGCAATGACTATCCAGCACTGGTGATTAAGAAACCCGCTGCTGGGCACGGTGGCTCGCTTATAATCCCAGCACTTTGGGAGGCCAAGGAGAGAGGATCACCTGAACTCAGGAGTTCGAGACCAGCCTGGGCAACCTGGCAAAATGTCGTCTCTACCAAAAATACAAAAAATTAGCCAGGCTGTGGTCCCAGCTGCTTCGGAGGCTGAGGTGGGAGGATTGCTTGAGCCTGGGAGGCAAAGGTTGCAGTGAGCAGAGATCATGTCACTGCACTCCAGCCTGGGTGACAGAGTGAGACCCTGTCTCTAAATAAATAAATAAATGAAACGAAGCCTGCCCACTGTGGGAGGGAGGGTACTGGGAAATGGCTTCTATCCCTGCACTACAGATGGTAACAGAAATAGCTAGGGAGACCACAGGAGGGGCATGCTGTACAGCCAGGTCTCTGCTTAGGAAACTTTCATAAGGTTGAGTTAAGCCTTGAAAAATCTAGAAGGCCTTAACCAGGTAAAAGAGTGGAACAGGAGCATTCCACTAAAAGCCAGGGACATGAAATAGTGGGTCATATGCGGCAATGACATGCGGTCTGGTTGTTAACTTTCTTGAGCAGGGGGACAAGGGGAGCTGGCTGGTAAGGGTGTGTAGACTGCCCGTGCTCGACAGGGGTGCAGGCAACAAAGGCCCCCTGAGAGATTTGTGGCAGCAAAGGTGGGTGTCAGATACTCATTCCTGGCCAGAGCCGGAGCAGGGGGTGGAATTTGGAGAAAAGAACAGAGAGAAAGCCTCATACTAGTAAGACACTGACTCAATTTCATGGTCAATATCTTTTTATTCTTTTTTTTTGAGACGGAGTTTTGCTCTGTCACCCAGGCTGGAGTGTAGTGGCACGATCTCGGTTCGCTGCAAACTGCCTCCTGGGTTCAAACAATTCTCCTGCCTCAGCCCCCTGAGTAGCTGGGATTACAGGCACCTGCCACCATGTCCAGCCAATTTTTGTATTTTTAATAGAGATGGGGTTTTGCCATGTTGGCCATGCTGGTCTCGAACTCCTGACCTCAGGTGGTCCACCCACCTCAGCCTCTCAAAGTGCTGGGATTACAGGTGTGAGCCACTGCACCCAGCCATCATTTTTTTTTTTTTGAAACAGAGTCTTGCTCTGTTGCCCAGATGAGTGCAGTGGTGCAATTTCGGCTCACTGCAAGTTCTGCTTCCCAGGTTCACGCAATTCTCCTGCCTCACCCTCCCAAGTAGCTGGGATGACAGGTGCACACTACCACACCTGGCTAATTTTTTTTTTTGTATTTTTAGTAAAGACAGGGATTCACCATGTTGGCCAGGCTGGTCTCAAACTCCTGACCTCAAGTGATCTGCCTGCCTTGGCCTCCCAAAGTGCTGGGATTACAGGTGTGAGCCACTGTGTCTGGCCTGTCATATCATTTTTTTAAAAAGAAAAAATAGCCATGGCCTATTAACAAATATACCCAAGTTATTGTGACTTTGAGGCCTCACCAATTGAGTGTGGCAATAAGACTCAGAGGGTCCTGCCAGGAGCACTGTCTATGACGTCCAGGATAAGGAGGAATGGCTCCCGGCAGGAAGTGTCCTTCCAGTTCTGAAGTCTAATTAGCAGGCTGAAAATAGCGAATTTATGAGAAGACATGGTCTTTAGACTCCAAATTCTAAAATTTTAAGTAATTTTTGACTGCTAGCGGAAATCAGTATTACAATTTCTAAAGGAGCAATTTCAGCTGGAACGTTCCCCAAAACAAACATATGTTTCTGAAAAACAGAAGGCAAAAAATAATCCAGAAAGAAAAAAATCCCAATGACTGTGCCAACAAATCTCTGTAAACACTAATTTTAGGTTTTAAAGGCCTACCAGTAATTTAACAAAGTCTGAGCGCCCCCTGATGGTTAATCAGGGGTCCTACAGAAGATGCCACTTTTAGCTACCTGAGGTCAACTTGTTAACTTTTCTCTTCAAATAATCAAGCAAGTCATTGTTCTTATTTGCTTTGTGCAGAAAAAACAAAGTATGTAGGCTTGTGATAAGAAACGTGACATGTTTAGGAAGCTGCCAATTCAGTGGAATTTAAGAACGGAGATGTGCCAAACCCAAGACAGAGAAGAGTGCTTTTATATAAGAACCTAAAGGACTTCCAGGAAAAACTCATTTTTATTTCACTGGACTATTGGTTCCTTATAATCTTTATGTTATCCTGGGGAAAACGGCACAGCGACCAGGCAAAGACAGAAAATGCCACCGCCCCCACCAGAGCATCAGCTGCAGGCTGGCGCCCTCCACTGGCCGCTCTGGTGGCTGCAAGGCTGGCACAGAATACCACCCATGGTGGCCCTGCCAGGGAACTGTGGCTGGGTGACTTCTGCTACCTTTCCCCCAGGCAATTATGCTGCAAGCACACACCCTTTCCTTTTGGTAAAACATTATCTGGTCCAACCAGTAAGCTGAAGTTACAAGGCAGGAACCAGCAAGCTAAGGGCAGGCTGTTAAAACATACTCTCCATTGAACAAATGGATCCGGGAGAGTGAAAACCGCTTGCTGGGGAAGGTAAAGCGAGACAATGTTTGCAGAGGAGAGGAAGCTCTGGCATGCACCCCTGAACAAAAGGGAACAAGTGGTCTTTACTTGGAGAACGGCTTCCTATTAGGACTCACTCCTTCGTACATTATGCCTTTCATCCCCACTCAACCACAAAATGATTTTGCTGAAGCAAATACAATGGTAGAAAAAGATTTACACTGAAAGAATCTTTAATAATAAACTGTTGCCAATCTGCCTACTTGCCCGTGATTTATAATACAATAAACATCGGATTCTATTACGGCTCATGCACTGAAGCTGCTGCTCTGAAAAAACGGCATATGAAAGCACCCGAACCCCACCACCATCACAATGAAATGAGCATGTATAAATGTGCTAAGAGTATCTCTTTGCATCTTTTATAGCTTGTGTGTATTAATCTGTAACGCTTATTAAGAAAGTCATTGCTATGCAAAGCAGCACCCAATCTCTTTCTCTGGCTTTTCAACAGGAGTGCACTGTTTAGCCAATAGGACAGACCCTCTGGCCCTCATTCTGCATTCATCACAGGCAACATTTGCACAATGTATCTCTCAAAGGCGGCTGAAAAGAAGGCCTTAATACTCATGTAAACAACTGCAAACCAATTACTTAATGAATCAGGCCCACACATAATGAGGTGCAGACAAAGAGCTATAAATGCATTTTTGCGCCCAAGCCGCTGCTTTAAAGTAAAATCCCTCAGCTGTAGTTTGGGCTTAACTAGCACATCATAATTATTGTCTCTAGGACATCAGAGGAAGCCATTTTTTTTTTTTTTTTAGGTCCAGCGGGTTTTTTTTTTTTTTTCCTGAGGTTGCTCATCAGCTCACTGACAAAATAGAGCAAAGAAGAATTTTAAAAGTGCTACAGCAGCACTGCACTGTTATGTTTATTCTCAAGTACCGGGTTTCGAGACCACTTGTAAAAGCAATAAAGCACAAGGAGTGACTGCAGTAAGTGGGATCCTTAAATGTAAGCCTCTAAGAAATTTCAGTGAATCCAGCACAAACAGCAAAACTGGAGCTCTCCAAAGCCCAGGGTGGCGTATTAACAACACCAAACCCAGCACAAGAACCAAACTGTGACAAACAGCACGCCAAGCCTACGCACTCTGGGCCCAGACCTTTTCATCACTGGATTATTATCAAGTGCCTAGAACCAAGAGTTCCTTGAAGGCCTTTTTGTGTGTGTGGTTTTTTTTTGTTGTTTTTTTTTGTTTTTGCTTGTTTTCTTAAAGCGGATGATGAGATTACTTGTAATTTATTAGGAAATTCATTTCATACAGAAATACTAATAACAAAAGGCCTCTGCCTCAATTTGAAGGAGGAAAAAAGTTTGATTTTAGTTTAGTGAAATATAGACAAGATGTAAAATTATTAGGCTGAGAAATGTTCTACAAAATCCAATTGCTTTCTTAATGTCTTTAAACATTTCCCAAAGAACCTATGTAAAGACTGTTTAGGAAGAACTGGGTTTTTTAGTGCCTCTATATATTATTAAGCCAAATGGTAACATTCGGCCCTGAAAACTATCTGTAGAATTTACTGTCTTTTAAAATTTCTTTTAGGAGACCTAGAACTTGAATTTATAATATAATCGTAATAACGTAATACTTTTAACACTCTTCCTGTCCCATTTACCTCCCATTTCCTTCAAAAATATGGATGAAAACTCAGGCACTAAAAATAATAACTTCTGATAATTAAATGAGTTATCTCCCTAAAACTGAACTTGTCAAGTTTCTAAAACCCATAATTTTAGAAATTCAGTCTCATTTTAATATATACTCCAGGTTCTAAAAACACTGTATTGTTTTATAAAATATGAATAAAAATAGGATTTTTTTATTTAAAAAATTCGACATTCCTGGCTCAAATCATTTTCTCTTATGGAACATTGTATGTTATACTAGAAATGTAAAGTTCCTGTTCTAAAATTTCATCACAAACAAGCAGTTAATTCAAATGTAATATAATCATCTGAAGGACATCTTTTTACTGAGCAATGCTGTTCCAAAAGGAAAGTTGCTATGCCATTTTAAACAATATTTAGCTCAAAACAAAAGAGCAAGGTATTTCATCAGATGACGGCTGATATTCCCATCTATAAATTCTAAGTGACCTGAAGCTACTGTGATTAGTATTTTATGTTAATGACAAATTCGGCACACAACTCTCTTAGCACTGGTCAAAAAACTTACAAGAAGTGAGTGCTACAGTTTGACAAATGTGAAGAGATAAATTTTGTTCTTTATGGAAAATAAGAAAGTATTAAAAAGGAAAGAATAATCTAGCCTAAATACTTGGTTAAAAAAAAGAGAAAAATAAAAATGAATATCCAGCAATTACTAGTTTATATATTAGCCATCACAAAAAGAAGAAACATGCCACTTTATTTCTTTTAAGGCCTGATGTTTTCTCTCTGCCCTTTTTTCTGACAACGTCCATTGTGTGGTCTCTAAGCAGTCCTACTGCGAGCAGCTGTAGACGCTAATTTGTGGTTCACTGAGGTGTCAATTGAGTCTTAAACCAAGGAAACAACAGCTGCAAAACAATACTTGGCTCTGGTGCAAATATTTTCAAAGGTAGACTAAAGTTTCAACTGTTATTTTAGATAAACAAAAACCCAAACCATAACCCTCCAAGTCACACAACAAAATAATATGCAGCTAGAGTTTAATTCATTGCATTGTGACATTTCTCATCTTGTTGCTGCTATTCAGAAAGGCTTTCACAACTTTACCTTGACAAAGGACTTCCTTCACTAGATGAAAAACTAGCTTCCGACGCAATTTTGTTAGCTGTCTTTGTCTCGAATACACCGCTGCCAATATTCAAACCTGTGATAAGCGTAAACATGGAGAGTGAGGGTTAGCTGTCATGCAGCCACGGGACAAAATGAATAAAGTGGCCTCACAGTAAGTTTGGTGAAACAAATGCCAGCAGAGGAAGAAACTGTTCAAGCCACAGAAGGCAAGGGAGCTTCTGAGGCAGAGAATGAAATGCTGGTAGAACACTGAAAGGGAGTGGGGCGCTTTCCTGTGATACCTAAACAGTAGCCACAAAAAGTGAAAACTGAAATCATCCAAAGAGTTCAATTTTAAATGACCAAGATGCACATGTAGGCATATGGATCTCTACTGTGTCACAAAGCACTGGATAATTCCCACTGTTATAACACACGGGTAGCAAACCAGGGCTCAGAAATAATTGAGACCCGTGGATAACAGTTACCCACCTTATCCACTCTTAAGCCCCTCTGTAAAATCCTCTATTTTCCATCCCATAGAGGAGAAAGAATCTCCACTGAAAATCATCAAGGCCACTCTTTACCAGCCTCCAAAGGTTGAGGAGGAGGATGCACACTCCACCTCTTTCTCTGGAGCCAGAGACTTGGATATTCCCACAATGCCCCCAGTTTGCAGGGCAACCCCTGACCTTTGCCTTCTGGGAGTTCTCAGCCTTGGATGTTTCTGCTACAGGTCTGCTTCTTAATTGGCAGTCACAATCAGAGACACAGCATGCATGGGCATCTCTGCAGAAAGCATTTGCTGAGTTTCTAACCTGGAATCTGCCTGCTTGCATGTACACTCTGCAGCAAAGTGATTATTTTAAAAATGTGTCCACATTCAGCCCAAAGAGGGTGTCCACATGCTTACCAGGAGGAGGTCTTTTCAGACATGAAAACTAAGGCTCAAGGTTTATTTAAGAAGCTTTCCTCAGGACAGGTCCACAGACTCAGAAGTAAGTGAAACATGCACTGCTTCTTCATTAGATTTGGGGTGGGCTCCTTGAGCGCAGAGTGCACCACCACCTCCCATCCCTGCTACTTCTAACAACACTGTGAAGCTGCCCTATACCCTCCAGTCCACTTTCTGTTTTTCTCTGGGACTCAGATAAGTCCTTAGGATCAGAATGAGAGTAAGGGTAAAAGATAACACACAGCCAAAGGATCTGACTACAATGACAGTGACAGCAAACACAGGCAGGAGCACTTTGAGTATAGGGCAAGGGAAATGAATTTAGGGGTGCCTGACTATATAACCTAGAGTGTCATTTCATTTATGAACAAATTAATAAAAATGCATTAAGTACTAGGTTATTAATAGTACCATAATCCATAATTTCAGATACACATCCAAGGGATTACAACTTATATGTCAAATTTACTCATCCTTTTTTTTGTTTGTTTTTTGAGACAGGGTCTGGCTCTGTCACCCAGGCTGGAGTGCAGTGGTGTGACCTTAGCTCACTGCAACCTCTGCCTCCTGGGTTCAAGCCGTTCTCCTACCTCAGCCTCCTGAGTAGCTGAAGCACCTGTCACCATGTCTAGCTAATTTTTGTATTTTCAGTAGAGACAGGGTTTCATCATATTGGCCAGGCTGGTCTTAAACTCATGACCTCAGGTGATCTGCCTGCCTTGGCCTCCCAAAGTGCTGGGATTACAGGTGTGAGCCACAGTGCCCAGCCAAATTTACTTATTTTGCACTTGTCCAATTAACTACTGAAAATAACACTTACCAGAAACAGATGTGTGGAGTCACTTTCCAAAGTATGTGTGTCATTTATCTAGCTGAAAGGCTCTGAGCAAGGTGTTACTCTCCTGGGGACTCATTTGTAAAATAGGAGTGTTGAATACATTCTTTCTAATATCCCTCTGGATTCAAATTCCATGACTCAAATGTGAAGAAGGTCATGGAAAGCAAACAGTTAAGAGTTTGCAAGTGATGACAATCTCCATCAGGACAGAGGCCCTGTTTTATAACTCAGTAAACTACAATGTCTGATGTTCAAATCACCCCTACCACCGCAATGGCTGGCTCTCCTAGGGGGCTTTTCACTGTCAGGCACTGTGCTGGGCACTTCATGTAGTGGCTCACCAAATCCTCAAAACCACCAAAATAACTGAATTTTGCCGCAACTGACTTTAACCACTAATATTATCTAGGAAATAGCTCTCCAAATACAGCTAAGTCTGATGGACCGTAAGTATGTCCCTCAAAAATATCTGTCTGAAAAAGACATTTTTTGTTTATTTTTTAGATAGGGTCTTGCTCTGTTGCCCAGTGCAGTGGTGTGATCATAGCTTGCTGCAGCCTCAAACTTCTGGGCTCAAGTGATCCTCTTGCCTTATTAGCCTCTTAAGTAGCTAGTAGTATAGGAACATGCTAAAACGTGTGTTAATTTTTAAATTTTTTGTAAAAACAGTGTCTTGCTATATTGCCCAGGCCGGTCTTGGGACTCCTGGCCTCAAGCACCTCTCTCACCATAGCCTCCCAAAATGCTGGGATTACAGGCATGAGCCACTGTGCCTGGCTGAAGAACACATCCTTGAGATAACCAGGAAATCTGAATATGGACTGGGAATTACATGCTATTTAGAAATCACTGTTCATTCTGCTAGGTGAAATTATGGCATGGTGGCTAAGAAAGTCAATGTGGATTTCCTTCTGTATTAATCCATTTACTCTCACAAAGGAAAGTGAGGTAATTTATGCTTTAAAAACTGGTGTAATGAAAGGAAAACCACTGGAAATAATAGATGTACAATAACAAAGCACAAAAAAACAAAATTACAATTAAAACAAAATCCTAGATTGAAGGAACTATAACTAAGCTTAAAATTTAGCTTTCCTGACTGCGCATGGTGGCTCACACCTGTAATCCCAACTCTTCGAGAGACCAAGGCAGGTGGATAGCTTGAGTCCAGGAGTTTGAAACCAGCCTGAGCAACATGGCAAAACCCTCTCTCTACAAAAAAATACAAAAATTAGCTGAGCCTGGTGGTGTGCACCTGTAGTCTCAGCTACTTGGGAGGCTGAGGTGGGAAGATTGCTTGAGACTGGTAGGTTGAGGCTTCAGTAAGCCATCATGCCACTGTACTCCAGCCTGGGAGACAGAGCAAGACCCTGTCTCAAAAATAATAAATAAATAAACAAACAAATAAATAAAATTTAGCATTCCTGGGATTTATAATCCTTTCAGTAAAATAACTAAAAATCCCCCAACATTCTGGTGAGGGAAAGCAGCCCAGTACAACACTGCCCATTGAATGACAAAGACACTAGTAGTCGTGGGGAAGAGAAGGAATTTGGGTGTGTCTTCCCAGGGTCACTGATGACAAGTCACTATCATGACATGCTTGGCAGAATCCAGGGCCTGGGAGGGCCACTGCCGTGCTGGCCAGCACATGTCTAGGACACAACAAAAGGGCTTTTCCACATGTCCGTTTGCCAAGGATAAAAAAAGTACTAGCTCATTCTGTCCTGGTGACAGCTCGTTACAGAGCAAACTCCAGAAACCTTCAAAAAGAATAACCACCCTTCCCTGAACACAGCCCTGCCCGCCACTTTGGGCCCCTGGACACTGCCATCTGCTCTTACTTACCTGACAAGTGTGACACAGAAGCATCTGCCTTTTGAAACCTGTTTTCAGTTTGATTTGTATTATCCTGAAGGGTAGCCTTCTTCAGCAACTGGTAGGCTTCTGTTTCTATTGATTAAAGAAAAACACAGAAATACCACATTTTTTACTGCCCAGAAAGCAGCTTTTAAAATTCTTCCTATGAGATGAACACTTCTCAAATGCATGCAAATTATTATTTTTTGAACTGTCACGTTTTAGACATTCTAAAAATAAAAACAATTTAGTTGAAACCAGGTTTCAAGACTCAAAGACAAGTTGTATGAGTTTATTTGAGGCAGCCAAATTCTAGTCTGTGGGTCTGTGGATAGGTTCACCATCACAGTAAAACAGTTTCACTTCCCTCTGGGCCTTGTAGAGGAATGAACCAGAATGAACCAGAAAAGAAAGCAAGCCTTCCTAGGTTGCCAGCTCACTCAGAAACTCTCTTTGCTCTGGCTCTTGGGCTCTCACACTCAAGTGCAGGGGCTCTGGGACAGGGCTGGGGGAATGGGGAGAGGGTCAGGAAGGGTGGTGACAGCTGGATGAGTTCAGAGTCCCACAGCTGAGGAAATCTAACCAAGTCTTGCCACGGGGAAGGAGCGAGAACGGGTTTGCAGAGAGCAAAGCCAGGCGTCCACAGGGATCAGCGGCAGCCTGCACATGCTCATGTTCATAGGATGTTCTTGGCCATGCAGTGCTTCTAATGGCATCTGCTATAAGTGAAATTGGGGAAGACTGTTGGGAAAAACAGTAAACAAAAATACATAAAGAACCTGAGTGACACAACCTTCCCCATTACTCTAAATTTCAAGAGCACCCAGATGAAATGCAGGATGAAGAATCAGAGTTTCAGCACAAACATAACAAAACAGCATCCATGTCTACATCTTCAACGTAACACAAAAGGAGTCCCACTGTCAATGCCAGGGGCTGGCAACAGGTTGGATTCCTGCTTTCGCTGGCTTCATTTAAGGACTTAACCATGAGACCCTCTTACTGGATTAAAACTACCATCACACTGAAGAATAAAAATACAACTTACCTTGCCCTACTGAAAATCAGTCAAGATAAAAATGAGTACTTAAAATGAACATTATACTTTGGAATATTAAGTACTATATAATTAAAATACATACAGATCAGGGATTCTTCGCTCTGAAGATAATAAATTCTAAGGCAACACTTTTTTAACATTGCTAGATTGTGAAATCAGTTTAGGTCACTGAAACCAGTATTTTGAAAAATCTAATAAAGAAAACATCAGAAACAGTGCATACAGAGGGGAAAGTGCTGTTTTGTGTAATGTGTGTGTGTGGGGGGCGGGGGGGCGCTGGGGTGAAAGTGTTTCCTGGTGAGGCTGGTCGCACTGTCCTAGGATGGCTCCAATGGGATGGTGTCGTGATGCCCTTCGGCTAATCCTAATATCCGTGTTACTTCAAATACACTGTAAGGTAACTGTGAAAGAGGGACAATATTAATAAAATCAAAGACAGAGTGTCTGAATTTCTAAAGGGAAGAAATCAGTGTAAAAGAGGTAAAAATGCCCTGTTTTGTTTTTATTTTACAAAAATCAACCAAAAAGTTTTTCAGCTCTCAGGATACAACTCCAGATCTTAATGACCCCATGTTATTTCTACATTCAATTAAACTTATTTCGTCAAGGAAAAGAGAGCAAAGATGGGAACTTAAAAAAAAAAGGAGCAGCTTCTTGATAAACAAAGCCTCCTGGCCACTGGAAGCTGGAGCTGTGCACTGCAAATTCATTTCTCCATTGTCGGAAGGCAAATCACTTGACTCCAGTGAGACGGCGCTCCTGCTTCTCAGAAACCAGGAAAACGTGTCACTGGCAATCAGAAGGGGATTTCTGTGAGAAGTATCAAGCTAGTAGTCCTGAGGTAATTTCATATTTGGGGGGGATTAAGCATTCTGCCCAAACAGAAGAAGGGCTGATAGTATTACTGGTTTAGGTTAGCAAGGGAGGAAACTGCCAATGTGAAGTGAAATCACTTCTAGCAACAAGGCACCATTCTGATACTCTGGAAAAGACGAGCCCTTTCTATGCTCCACACTTTCCATCTGGTCCCCCTCCCTTCCTTCCTGAAGAGTGCGAGCTCAGAAGCTTTTGGCTAACCACCCATCCTGAGATGGCTCACTCTCCTGCTCCATTCAACCAGAGCCCACCACTTCCCAATCACCTCACTGGTGTTTCATCCTTAAGCCTCTGTGGCCCTTCTCCAAGCAGAGTCACCGAAGCCCACCTGGGCAGTTTTTATTTGGGATGCAGCTGCCCTGACCTGAGTCATAAAGGACTGGCAAGATCAGGTTGAGGACTGCTGGGCACATGTCTCACCCCCAATCCCAGTGCGCACTCTCTCCAATGGTTTAAAGGCAAAGTGAAGTTTAAAAGGTACAAAGATGAAGTGCATTCACCTAGAGGAATGACACTCACTGAGGCAGGACCACAGATGTCAAAGCAGGAGAGGGCAGAGAGCCTAGCACTGTTGCTGCCCAACCGAGGATCAGATGCACCAGAGCTGGAGTTGCTCTCCCTATGCATCACCCCCCTATTTAGTCAGAATTGTTGCACAAAACTATTTATGAAAGTCTGAGAGATGATCTACATAGGAAAAACAAAATTAATAAGGGTTGGTTAAAACAAATTAGAAGTGGTTAAAGGATACATAGTCTGCATAGAACAAGGTCGGAATAGGGAAGGAAAGTTCAGGTATTGCAAACAGACTGGACAGGATGGGCATTGCGGATGCAGATGCCTCTGGGGCCAAGCAAGTACCTCCAAGAAGTGACTATGGCCAGGCAGGAACAGCAGGAAGCGCCTGCCCTGTAGCAGGCAAGGAGGCACATGACTTGTCCATAGAGCACAGCTGCTCCTTGGCTCCAGCCAATTGCTGCCTGGTGGGAAGGTGGGTCTGGTCTTGCCAGACTTCTGCCTTTTCTTTCTTCTTTTTAAAAATAAAACACTGCACAGACAAAACAGAACATATTTGTAGCCTCGAAACTAGATGGTAGTGAGCAACTTTTTGTGTTCACTGAAAGTGGTACAAGAACACTTAGGGAAAAACTGCAGCCAAATAATACAAGCTAGATATCAGGAAAAGCTTTCTTGTTGAAAGGGTTGTTGGAACATGTTATCCAGGGAGGATGCATCAGCTGTATGAAGATTTTTAAGGGGCTGTCTGTATCAAATAGACCAGGTTTCAGACCCTGGAGGCAAGAGTGTATTTTTTTTTAGGAGTTCTCAAACAAATCAGACATCCTCCTGAAACAGCCCAGAAGACTTGGCCGGGACGCTAGTTTCATGAAGCAAGAGTGTAAAGCTATGGATGTGAGGTTTGTGGTAATTCAGGCCCAGGATTTTTTAGAAGAAACACAGTGATGAACCAAGCAGTTAAAAGCTCCATTTTGTTGCTGCTCTGCAAATTTATAGTTATTAAATGAATGAACAAATAAAGGAGCAAAAGTAACGAATCAAGAAGTTCAAGTTAGTCTGTTACGAACAAGGTAGGGACAAAGTCAATATATTTCCAAGGGAAAAAGATTTTTGTTTTCTCAGCTGCAAGTAAACTGTAAGTCTGAAAATTTGAGGATTGGGTGTTTGCTTTAATGGTTTCACTTTCTAGCCTGACTTAGAAATCCAGGGAAACACTTCCTCCCATTAGTAAAGTTAAACTCTCAGAAAATACTGAGTAGTGAAAATGTTTAATTAGACAAACATTTCTAAAGAATACAATCATTTTCAGATGGAATGTTCTGATACACACAGAAACAAACACGCATGCTCAAGCTTTCAGTTCTGAATATTTGTTCAAGCATTGATTATATATTCAAATCTGTGTCAAGACTTAGTTTCAAAAGTAGAAAATATAGTAGTTCAAAATGTAAGGCAAGGCAAGGAGGGGCATCCCATGCAGTCTACAGCTCCAGAAGGTGAAAATCTATCCTTGTCTATTAACTCTTGACTGATGACATGAGATAAATGTATTTTCCCTTACTTTGTTACATAAGCTGCCTGAACCCAATCATCTATCTTTCTGCAAAGTGCTGAAGGATCGCTGAGACTGTTTTTTTTTTTTCTTTTTGATATGCGTTTTGTGTCTGGAAAATAGAAACAGCTACAGAAAGAAAGTGAAAACATGCTGAATAAAGAGGTGGGAGAGAGATGATGCTGAGGAGAGGAGAAAGAAAAAGCCTCAACTTCTTATCTGTTTTCCTCTTTTATATGCAAATGTACACCTGCTAAAATACTTCTAAATCTACAAATAAAAAGAAAATATCTGATGAACAAGTGCTTTTAACACCCCATTACAAGAGCCAGACAAACACATCGTTCACCAGTCTCTAAGGGGTGTCTTGGAGGCAGGGAATCTGCCCATTGCTTTTGCAGAAATCCTTAATGAAAAAAAGAGTTGGGCTCGGAGAAAAAATAACAAAGGGAGATGCAAACAATACTATCACTACGGCTAAAAAACCGACCTTGAACTGACAGAGAACTGGGCATGTTTGAGTAAGGAAGGATAATTGCTATTTCTATATGAAGTTAAAACAAAATCTGAAAAATATTCTCTGTCCACTGAGTTTCTCAGTATTGTTACTTTTCACATATTTCTACACCTACGTGTTTTTTCAAATTGTACTACGTGTGTTGCTGACACTGCAAACTCGGTCATTTTTGCAAAATAAAATAAAAATTGTGAGATATGTTTCTTAAGTTACTTCAAAAGATAAATATTAACACTGAGAATCCAGAAATCATTTGCCTAGTAATCTACTTAAATAAAAATAAGGGCCGGGCGGGGTGGCTCACGCCTGTAATCCCAGCACTTAGGGAGGCTGAGGCAGGTGGATCACTTGAGGTCGGGAGTTCGAGACCAGCCTGACCAAAATGGAGAAACTGTAACTACACCATTGCATGGTGGCACATGTCTGTAGTCCCAGCTACTTGGGAGGCTGAGGCAGCAGAAAAGCTTGAACCCGGGAGGCGGAGGTTGCGGTGAGCCAAGATCGTGCCATTGCACTCTAGCCTGGGCAACAAGAATGAAACTCCATCTCAAAAAAAATAAATAAATAAT